ACTGAGTATGGATTTTAAGAAAAGAAAAAATGAAGACTTTTGGAATTTGTGGTCCTAAACAAAGTAAAAAGGGTCCCAGAGTATTTGTGTGATTATAAAAGCTTCTCATTAAGGGTAGAATTGTAAGTTTAATCTAAATTGTTATCAAATTTAGAAAGGGATCATTCTTTTTGGAACGGACCAAAATAGAAATAGGTTCACATAAACTGGAACAGAGGGAGTAGTTATTAATAAACCCATGTGTCTCCATTTTATTGGCTATTCTGGCATGTGAATTACACGCATCTACTATGTTTGACTGCCTATAAATTTTATTTCTAAATGACACATTTGAGATGTGATTGAAATGTTCAAATGAAACAAACTTAAAATGAAGTATCTAAGTGAAAAGTGTGGACAACTTTAAGTGGTTGTCGATGTATTTTACCTTTTTTTATAATAGTATGAATTTCTTTTCAAATTCGATAATAATATAAATTTATCTTCTTAAGATTCAAAAAGAAGAATTAATCCAAATAGCCGCTCAACCAACCTCTTTAACTAACAATAGTTAGTGAAGATATAATATATATATATATATATATAATTTATGTATTATATGTGTATAAGTAATGTATATCTATGTATATGGCTAGATAAAATAAACAATAAATATGGTCGGCTCCTCCTTTTGTTCTATCTATGTATAAGTAATGTATATCTATCTATTTACACTGTATTTATCATTTGTTGATATACTTTCTGCAAATTTACCATTTGTAGCTTTATTTAAATTTTTATAGCAAATTCATGAAATAAGAGATTAATTACTTAGAAGTGAAACAAGATAGCAACAAGCTCTCATAGCTTTGTTGGTTAGAGCGCTTGCTTAACTAGTGAAGGTTTTGAGTTCGAATCTCAACAAGAACATTTTATTTTCTATATTTCTGCATTTTGCCTTAGTTGTATTCGTTGCACGAACAGATACAGTCGATACAGTCCTTTGTATTTCGCCTTGGTTACAGTTGATACATATTGTATTTGTTGAACGAATGAATATAATTACGCAAACGACAGTTGACACACGCTATAACGTTGTGCGTTTGAATACAAATGATACAAGTTAGTAACAATTGAACAGGCTATGAATGGTAATTAAGCAAATTATAGTTATTAGGTTCTAAACTATAGCGGTTTATGAAAATGATAAAAATAACCAGATTTACAAGTGGTCATTCAAAAATAGCCATAATTTCAAAAGTAATCGAAATTTAGCCACTTTTCATGTAAAGATAAATTTGAACGAAAACACTGTTCAAAATCCGAAAAATACTCCAGCATAATATACTGAAATTCTAGTATATTTTTACTTATGCTGGAACTCCAGTATATAATACTGGATATACTGGAGTTCCAGCATAATATATTGGAGTTCTGGTATAATATACTGATCTAGCATAAAATGCTGGAAGTTCATACACAGGTGCTCCAATCTCTGGTATATTATGCTGGAACTTTTCGTATGTTGGAGTTCCAGCATAATATGCAGGAAGTTCATGCATAGGTGCACTGATCTCCAGTATATTATGCTGGAACTTTCCGTGTTGCAGCAAAATATTAGCTATTTTTTAATGACTTTGCAAATATTGACTATTTTTTAATAACCAGTCCGAAAACTGGCTAGCCCGTGCAATTTTTACTTCAAAAGCTGCTTCTAGCACACTAATATGGGCTTGAATCTGATAGAGGCTATGGCAATAGTGGGCTTATTCAAAAGGCCAAATTAGCACATTGTAATCCAAATGTACGATGCAACTGAATAAGTGGACATTATCCAATAGAAGTCTTGCGGAATTACAGTTGTAGGCTAGGAGCTAGTTGAGTCTTGCGTTACTTTGTTCCATTGTGAGCCTAGTCTGATAAGGTTTTAATCGAAAATTACTAGGACCATTGTCGTGTCTTAATATTTTCTCTTTTCGGTGCTAGATCTATATACTAGCCATCATTTCTGCCTTGTATTTTTCTTATGCATTTTAGGTTCCTATTTTTCCTATGATCTCTATGGTGAAACTAATATTCTCCCCTTTTGTTTTTCTTATTTTTCTTATTATCTTGAGCCGAGGGTCTTTCGGAAACAGCCTCTCTATCCCTTTAGGGTAGAGGTAAGGTCTACGTACATATTAACCACCCCAAACCCCACTTGTGAGATTTTCCTGGGTTGTTGTTGTTGTTGTATCCAATAGAAGTCAAGTTTGATAAAAAGCTTCTAGAGATCTCCGGATTTGTCTCTGAAAATTTCCCTTTTATGAATGCAAGTCGTTTTCCCATTAAAGGTATTTATTATTACTAGGATGAAAAGCCATTTTCGATTTAATTGAGAATTGAATTCTACTGTAGCAGATTGTGAGCTTTTAATGTCTCATTGGGGTTTGGAGAAACACAAATCAGAAGTTATTGTTGTCAGTCAGGACCCAATTTCTCCTCGTATTTCTTTTCATTTAGATAAAGAGTAAATTAAAGAGATTTGTCCTTGGAATGTGGAAACTTCAAATCTAGAAGATCCCCTACTCTATTTTTTTTTTAAATTATTAACTTAAATAAGTAAAAATAGCACGGGCTAACTAGTTTTCGGGCTGATCATTTAAAAATAGTCAACGTTTGCAAAGTCATTGAAAAATAACCACCATTTTGTTGCAACACGAAAATTTCCAGCATAATATACTGGAGATCGGTGCACCTGTGTATGAACTTCCAGCATATTATGCTGGAACTCCAACACGCAGAAAGTTTCAGTATAATATACTAGAGATTGGAGCACATTATACTGGAGTTCCAGTATATTATACTGGATTATTTTTCCGAATTTTGAATAGTTTTTTCTTTCAGATTTATCTTTACATGAAAAGTAGTTAAATTTCGGTCACCTTTGAAACTGTGGCTTTTTTTGAATGACCACTTGTAAATCTGGCTATGTTTGAATTTCTCCATTAAATAATCTTTCACCTAACTGCTTAAACAAAAATCGTCAGTATATATAAAATATGTATAATATATATAATCATATGCAATAATTTATGTATACTGACTAAAAAAAGCAAACAACAAATTCGATCAACTATTTGTGTGTGTGTGTTTTTTTTTTCTTCATTCCAAAGTTTTTTGGTTGGCCAATAAGGAAACCACGCACTCCATTTATGTTCACTCGTTATGCATTTTTTTTTCATGTCAAAAACTCCTCAAATATTTGTAGTCCGATTATCAGCAGAAATTTAGAGCATGAATAGTTAGCTTGCACAATTGCTTAGTTTTTAACTATTTATAGATAATGCATAGTATTATTTTCAAATGGAAGTGAAGCATTAGTCAGATATTCACATCAAATATTCGAATAAATTAATCAGATTCTTTTGTATAGGAAACAGATCAATCGAGTCATCTACCAATTTCTACATTGTCATTTTGCTCCCTTATGGGGCCACGACTACCTGTCCATAATTGACGTGTAACCTTTTTAGTTCGAGACAGACGACTTATCCTTGATGGGATAATTTAATAATACACGAAATTTAATGGAGAAAAAAAAGGACAGTATAATTATATACGAAATTTCATAGTTTTATATTCAAATATTAAGTCGGTTTTTATAATTAATCACTTAAGATGTTGGGCTAACACGGCACAATGACACTCTTAACATGTGTGATATTGTTCGTTTTGAATCAAGTCCGGGCGGTTTTTCTCAAAAGGTCTCTTATCATTAAGAGATCTCTACATTTTATACGGAGGCTTCCAATCTTTTCAGTGCTCAATGCGAGATTTTGTTTGTACACCCAACAATCTTTCCCTCGAACAACGTTCCACATGGCCATTACCACGATCTATAAGTCAATTTCAGAGATTCACTATGTGTCACCCACATCGTTAGAGTATTTATGACAATCGAAGCCTACAACCTAATTTCTTTTTATGAGCGTGTCTCCAAGCTCGTGAGAGTAAGCAAATATAGTCTTGCACCATCACTCTGCCATCGCCATCATACTCGTCTCGCTGAACTTGGGATATGAGCTAAACGGTTTATAGATACTCTTAACATGATGTGATTTTATTCGTTTTGGACTGAATCTGTACGATTTTTCCCAAATAACTTCACATTATTGAAAGATTTCTACACCTTATATGTAAGCTCCTAGTCTTTTCAGCTACCAAACGTTAGTCCTCAGATAAGTGACTTAATGAAATGATATTTGGCCTTTGTTTTTGAGTTTGCAACTTTGAGATTCAATGTAAATACACTTATTTAAAAAGGCTAAATTTGTTTTTTTTTTATATTTTGAATTAAGCAACTTTATTATTAGTTCAATTCTTTTATTTAATATTGCTCTCACCATCAAAAAATAATTTCTTTTTTACCCTCGACTCCTTATAGAGCTTCAAGCAGAAAATAATTTTAAATCATAGTCAAAACTTATAAATTTGTATCTTTTTTCTTAAATAATTTGGATATTCAGAATCCACCGGTTCGATATTAGAGCTCCAATAATGCTAAATATAAGATAATTTACGTTCCCTCCGGTCTACAATAAGTGATCAATTTACTTTGGGCACATCCATTAACGAAATACTAAATTCTAGATAAAAATAGATATTGTAACTAAACTATCCTTAATTAAATATTGCAACATAGTTATAGTAACACTTACTTCTTTTCTCAAATGTGAGGATTAAATGACATTTTAGGGATACATACATAAGTTTTTTTTTAAAAAATAAAATAAAATTCTTGATTATATAAATGGACACTTATTTTGGACAAAAAAAAAGCAAATTAGTCATTTATTGTAGACCAGAGGGAGTAATGGCAAAAATATAAATGAACTAAAAATATAAACGAGAACAAAATTGGGCAATTTCAAACATTATAAGGATGAATTTCAGAATTTGGACATTTTTCCTATTTAAAATAAATTCCAACAAAATAAATAAATAAATAAATGAAGATATCATGCCTTACGTGTGTACATGGGATTGTGTGCTCTGAAAAAAAGCAAATCATCAACAAAATAAAGGGGTCAAAGCATTGAATAGAATAAGCAGTTTTTGCTAAAGAAGGCAATCCCAGATTGATTAACAACAGAAATGATGAATCATCAAAGTTTAATTAATTCTCTGATTCAATTAAAGCATTCCTGAAATCGAGACAGAGATAACGCAGAGCGAATCCGTGTTTATATTGAACCGCGCGCACCACATCAATTCACGCTTCAACATCAGCTTTTAGATTTTGAACAAAAATGTCAAGCAACGAAGAATCAATGGATGATAGCAATGGACAGTCATTTGGAAAGGTCAAACAACGTTTCAAAGATCGATCCCAGGTACGTATTTTATAGATTTTTGTGTTTTTGTGCGTGAATTTGTGTTTTTTCGTGGTGGGTTTTATTGCAGTTTACGTGTTTGAAGGAATTATTGAATGGGTTGGTATATACATTATCTGTATTTTTTTTTTTGTTGTTTGTAGAAAACAAAGGAGAAGACGAAACAGATCTTGTCAAAACAAGCTGATAAGATCGCGAAACGAGCTGAGGAACATGAACGATTTATTAACAAGGTTTGTATATCAAAGTTCATTTACACACGCAATTTACAGTTACATGCATATACTGCTTTTCTGCCGTTTTATGTGAATTTTTCTCTGTTTTGAGTTAATACCATAAACCAAATATTTGTCTACAATATTGGTTGATACACCAGAAATCCCGAGGCCCTCGGTAGATAATGGGCCCGCCCTGCCTTTCTCCGGCGGAGCCAGAATTTGAAACTTATGGATTTTAATCCATAGGTTACTGGGTTGTAATACCTAACTTATGGTTTAGGTTTCTAATTCTTTTTAAGTTACTGGATTCTAAATTAATAATTTGGATATATTCAATAGATTCCAAAGATAAATACAAGATGGGACCAAAACTACCAGGTTCGGCCCATAGACACTCTAGCTCCGCCCTTGCTTCTCAATTGGCTTCTGTTTGTAATAGGTAGTGGCGGTGCTAGGATATTTACTAATGCAAAATATATAAGTAAACACATGAAATGTCCAAGGGGATTCAACATATATTATTTATACATAGAAAAAAATTGACGTATCTACACAGAGTAATTTTTCTGTGAAGGGGTGCCAATTGACTCCTTATGGACATCTTAGCAGCAGGGTTTGAACCTGTGACATGCGCCTAAGCAACACATCACAAGCTATGCTCTTACCACTAGATCAAAGCCTTGGGAGCTGAATCTTTGTCTGCAGTATTACACAGGTTTTCTTTAAAGTTGTATTAATTGGAGTCATGGTGTTTGCAGGTGACACATCTGATGGGTGTTCTTGGGTTTGGGGCATTTTGCTTTATACTGGGTGCAAGTGAGTGAAATGTCTAGTCTTAGCTATTCGCTTTATCTAATTGCTTCTTCTTGAATTTTAATTTAGTAGTTTGTTTTAGCTTTCTTTTTGACTATTCAATGGCTGATTCAATGATCAGGGCCACAGGATATTCGATATGTTTACTGTTTGTTCTATGTCATTTTCGTTCCTCTGAGATGGATCTACTACAGATACAAGAAATGGCATTACTATCTTTTGGTAAGCCCAGCTTCACCTGTACAATTTGTGTTCTTTCACTTAATATTTCAAGTGGCAGTTTCATAACATGTAGGATAAGCAAAACAGTGTAGTTGAATGGCTATGCAAAAGATTTCATGTAGTTATAGTTTGCAGTATGAAATTCTGAGTTGTTGGCTGTTGTAATTGCACGCTCTTAAACTCTATATATTTATTTTTTCTAATTTTACTAGACCGTGCAAACTCAAGATCTTAAATGAAACGGGATTAAACATAATGATTATAGGAGAAAGGCAAATAACAATTATCACTGATGGACCAGCATATTAATTTGGTGTTTCGGCATTATGAGTTTTCCAAAATAACATTCGTGAAACGTTTTATGATATTAATCCCTAATTTCAAGTCCTACTATTTCCCTTGCCACTCAAGTGAACCTCTCAGACGAGGAATTCAATCTTTAAAACATAGGAATAAAGTTTCTGTTCCTTCCCGTGTCTAGTAATTCCTGGTTGTTAGACAAATGATTGGATGCGGGCTTCTTGTTGTGCAGGACTTTTGCTATTATGCAAACAATATTTTTGTAGTCACGCTTCTGTTGTTTCCTACAAATGAGAAGCTATTTATGGTTTGTTTCTCGTTCGCAGAGGTAAACATCTTATATTTGAAAGGTCCTTAATACTAACTTTAAGATTTATCTACTCTTAAATTTTTATCCTCTTACATATAACTGCAGGGGCCTCTAGCATGGGCATTGATTGTTTGGCGCTGTAGCTTAGTTTTTAGTTCAGTTGATAAAATTGTCAGTGTCTTCATACATCTTTTACCTGGTAAGTAGGACATTCTTCTGTTCTCCTATTGCCGGCAATAGCAAGTTTTTGCGCTCAAACATAGAAACCAGTGCAGTGGGGGTATGGACTTAAACAACTTCCATTCTAAACAAAAAAGAATGTCTTGTCTTGATTATGCATGCTTATATATACATTGAGGCCCTGCCATATCTCCATATTTTAGTCGTGATCTCATTCTAAGGATCTGGATTTTGAGTTCAGAGTTGCTTTATAACTTCCAGAAGTAGATTTCGTATTGGGTTGCCCATTTGCTATTTGATTACATAGCTTAGTGTTGACTATTTTTCGTTTCATTACCAAAGTATTTGCCTCAAGGTATAATTGCTTCCATGTTTTAGTTGTGCAAAAGATTTTTCTTAAAAGGAAAATGAAAAGGATAAAAGGTGATGTGGGAAAATGATATTTACTAATATTCCCCTCTTGAAGAGTTTGTTCTGTTTGCATCATGTTTTTCATTTGTGATAATTTTTGTTATGATCGTGCCTTTTGCTAATGATATTTGATTTTTTCAATTTATCTTTCCCTTAATTTCTTGTTTAATTTGCATTGTACAGTATTGGTCAACACTAGGTCAATTGTTTACAAAGGTACTTCTAGTTTTCTTTGGATGCCTGATGCCATGCTTTGAGGATGTTTAATCCCTCTGAAACCTAATACTTCTAAGTCTGTGAGAGTTTATTAATTGTAATTGTCGGGTTGTTCTATTTCTGCTGCAGCACATCGTGTCAAACACTCGGTAATTAATTGCCTTTTAGTGCTGCACTCTGTGAATCACTTACAAGTAAAGCTAATACTTCAAAGTCTGTCAGAGATTCTTAATCGTAATTATCTAGTTGTCTACTTCTGCTGCAGCAAATCATATAAAACATTAATCTCTTTTTAGTGCTGCACTGTGTGAATTACCGGAAGTAGTAAGCTTTCGGTTCAGATATCATAAGATATTTATGTGACATTGTATTACATATTGACATCGTTCTTACTTTGTCCAATGAGTTAGAAAGTGTACCTGTCTTCTCCCCAATTTATTTTTAAAGAACTCTTGGCTTGTTTAAATTGATTACCTCCAACTATTCTGATTTGCAGGGTTGGTTTTCTTCACAATTCGCTGGTGGGATCCTGAGTTTTTTGGAGCTATGCATCCTGAAGGTACTCCAGCACGAGCATCATGGCCTTACAAAGAAAACCAATCCTACCTTTGGACTTGGCTATTTTGGGTCCCATTAGCTGCATATTTTCTCTGGCAGGTTCTCTATTATCTCATAGTAGATGTCCTACGCCGACAGAGATTTCTGCGAGACCCTGAAGTTATGACATCTTACAGGTAGCCATTTTAGTGTCTAATTTTTGCAGCCTATGATGAAGTCTTTTTTGGGTGTATGCACCTTTCTTTCTCCATCTGTCCCTTTTTGTTCTAGTCTATGGACGTCATCATGGGTCATTGTGTTTAGTTTTTTCCTGGCTGTTGTATTGTGGTTGGTGTTGATTCTATTATGTTCGTCAATTGGTAGGGAGCTCTCAAAAAAAGCAAAGAAAGCAAACAACATATGGTGGCGCGTCAGTGGTTTGCTTGGAGATCAGAATCGCTTGTTTATGTATATTCTGCTCCAGGCCGTATTTACGCTAGCAACTACAGCACTCACCGTGCCCATATTTTTGTCATATAAGTTGCATGTTGTATTCCAAGTACTCAAGGTTTCAGCATCTATATGGAATGGTGGAAACTTTATGTTAGATGTGATGCCCAGGCAAGTGATTCTCAAGGAGGAAAAGAAAAAATCAAAGATGCCACCTGTCCCCAACCAGAACGATCAGACTTCTTTGCAGGAGAGCGCAACGGATACTAATAATGCTTCTGAAACAGTCCAGTCTGAATAATGGAACTATCTGATTTGGAGTGTCCCATCATCACACTTAGTTGTTAACATTTCTGCCTGCTTTACATACAAATGAATGAAAGGTTTAAGTTCTGTGAACTCCAAGTTGTAGATTTGGTGAAAGGAAAAAATGAACCATCTTCATTCCGTTGTGAATTAAATCTGAATAGTTGTTTGTGCTTTGGTATACTTGGTGAAGGAAAGATTAGTTTAGTTGTGAACTTTTTCTGAATTTTCAGTTGAATCACATGAGACAGACGATCTAGCAGTTTGAAGGGGAGCTTTGGAGCATAGGTTCGAGCCATGAAATTAGCCTTTGATGCTTGCGTCAAGGTATGTTGCCTATATTACACCCTTTGGGGTGCGATCCCCAGACCCTGTGTGATTACGGGACGCTTTGTGCACGGGCTGCCCTTAGACGGTCTCACAGTTTGTGTACCTAGGTGGCCTTTCCTGAGCTTAAAGGCTTTTCTTTTTGGTTTTCTCATTGGCAAAGAGTGAGTTAAGGTATTTCTTTCTGCCCCTCCATATCAAGCTTTACTTATATAACACTTCCTTTTTCTTTTATTGTAGAAACCGAAGTAGTTGGGTTCAAATGCCATAGAATTCTTCTTCATGAGGGAAGAAATTAACTATGACAAGCTGTACTTTCTTTGATGCTTCGTTTTAAACTACGACTAGTTGCTTCTTTTCACTTCTGAAGACTTGAATATATCCATACCAATTTTTGTTTTTAGAAATACTTCCTTTCTTCACTGAAAGAAAACTAAATATAATTATGTTCAACTGGAGCAACATAGAGTTCGTAAATTTTATTCATCTGCTCAAATGTATAGTTAAGAAACAAGGAATTCTGGAGTCTTGTGTTTATGTTGCCATCGGCCCCGAATCGCCTAAAATTTTTACTGGTCCATCAGAAACAACCTTATAAACGATAGTCATGGGTTTGCCATGACCATTTCCACGTGTTTAGTGTTTTAGGGCCATAAAACAGGAGTTCAAGATAATTTTTAATTTTTTGTGTATTATAGTTCCCGTCATCTGCATGAATTTGGGCGACCGGCCTTGAATGGTCTACAATTTTGCGAGCCCATCAGAAAAGAACTAATGGACAATAGTCATGGGTTCGCCATGACCGTTCCACGTTTTTTGGCGTTTTAGTTTCATAAAACACGAAACATTAATTCGGGCGACCGGTCTCGAATCGCTTAAAATTTTGCGGGCCCATAAAAAACGACCTCATGAACAATAGCCATTGCTTCGCCATGACCGTTCCTTATTTTTTGGCATTTTTGGGCCATAAAACAAGAATTCAGGACGATATCCAATTTTTCGTGTATGAATTTAGGTGGCTGGCCCCGAATCGCCTAAAATTTTGCGAGCCCATCAGAAACGACCTAATGAATAATCATCATGGGTTTGCCACGACCTTTCCTTGTTTTTTGATATATTAGGGCCATAAAACAGGAATTCAGGACGATTTGTTATTTGCGGATTCAGGCAACCGGCTCTGAATCACCTAAAATTTTGCGGGCGCATCAGAGACGACATAATGAACAATATTCATGATTCCGTCATGACCGTTCCTTGTTTTTTGACGTTTTAGGGCCATAAAATAGGAATTTAGGATGATTTTCAATTTTTCATGTGCTATAGTCCACGCCATCTGCATGAATTCGGGTGATCGACTTCGAATCGCCCAAAATTTTAAGAGCCCATTAGAAACGACCTAATGAACAATAGTTATTGTTTCGTCATGACCGTTCCTCGTTTTTTGGCGTTTTAGGGCTATAAAGTAGGAATTCAGGACGATTTCTAAATTTTCGTGTGCTATAGTCCACGTCATCTGCATGAATTCAGATGACCGACCCCGAATTACCTAAAATTTTGCGGGCCTATCGTAAACGAACTTATGAACAATAATCATCGCTTCGCATAACCGTTTTTTTTTTTGGGTGTTTTGTAGTGAGAATTTTTGCAGGCTATAGTCTACCTTAGTTCAATTTTGCTCCTATAGTTACCTTCTTTTTCTTAGAGGTTTGCATATTTTTGTAGTCTTGTAAAATGTTATACCAGAAATCAATGGTTAAATTAATTGCTGGGAATAAACGACACAGTATAAATACAAGTTCAAATTCTTGCTCTGTTCCCATCATCAAAATGATATATTTGCTGTCTGATAAAATACTTTTTTTTTGGTACTAAAAATAAATATTATATATTAATTAAACATGCGTAGAGAGATGTAGGTGCTTAGATTGCACCATATTACAAACTAAGTTATTTGTAGTAGCAGTTGGCATAGAGCAAACTAAGTTAGTAGCAGTAGTAGGTCCTATATTACAAGCTAAGCTATTAGTAGTAGTTATATTCCTATTTGAGCTATTACTGAAGCCGCCAATATAGCTTGGACTGATATTATAAGTGTTCCTTCCATGCACTGTAGGTTCATCTTGAAAATTAGTTGCAGTTTGTGGTATTGAACGGATCCTTTGCAGTCCTTGCTTGTCATCTTCAACAATTTCTTGAGCAAAATGTGGTGGCTGATGCAAAACTTCCATTTTATAGGTCCCTTCCAAAAGACTTCCCAAAGTTGCTAATTTATTTGTTAATCGATTTTGTTCTCTGTATGCATGGTTTACCAGTGAATCATGGAGCATCCATAGGAGGTACCTGCAATCATTTAATAGGTTAGCAAATGTTAAGTTATCAGTACGTAGTAGTGTAATTACCTCTTTCGCATCAACTTCCACTTGAATTGGTATTAGATTATGAAGCTTAGCCAAAGTAAGTCCCTTTAATAATGCATATATCTCAGTTGTAGTAATAGATTGATATGGAATGTTGCCCAAAAACCCTATAATCCAATCTTCGTTGTGATTTCTAATTATTCCTCCAATACCATTCTTATGCTGAGTAGATGAATGAGCTCCATCCGTGTTTAGTTTATATATGTTAGGCTTTAGTGGTATCTATTTTAAAGGAGTTCTTATGTGTCGTTGTTGTGAGCATCTAATTTTTGACCTTCGAGATTTTTTCAACACTTTTTAGTATGTAAATAATTTTAAGTTTAATTTACATATTTTAGCTTTTTAGTAGGTTTATTTGATAAAATTAAAAACGGAAAAAAAAGTTACGTTTTTAGANTATATATATATATATATTCTTTCATCTAGTCTAGTTTAATTTTCAAGTTAGAGGTTTTAATAAGTGAATATTGAGTAATTAGTATTTTTGTTATAATTATAAACTTTAAAAAAAAAAATCAAAAGAAAAAGTGAAAACGAAAGGCCAGTAAAATCTGACCAACTCGTCCAAAGAAGTGAGACTTCATTCCATATTTGACACAATTTGAAAACTCACGTTTTTGGACATTTTTAGGCATTAATTTGTTTTTGTTATAAAACAATAAAAGTAAAAGAACAATATTGCAGAGAAAGAGAGAGAGAATTCTTATTGAATTTTGGGATGATTTACAATGGGGTAAGACCCCTCTATTTATAGGGGAAAAATGACTTAGCCACAAAGTAAAATTCTCTACAAGATAGACATTCACTCTAAATAGAATTCTATTCATAACACTCCCCCTTGAATGTCTACTCAATAAGTAATGTGCCTCGTTAAAACCTTAACTAAAATAAAACTCAATGGGAAAAAAAATTCTAGAAAAGGAAAAAGAGTACACATATCTAACAATACGCCTTTTGGTTGCCTCATTAAAAAAACATTGTAAGGAAAACCCAGTGGGACAAAACCTTGTAAGGAAAAAAGAGTGCAACGCGCATTAACTCCCCCTGATGAGAGCATCATTTCACATCCTTGAGCCTTCACATCCCGATCTTGTACACTAGCTTCTTGAAGGTTGACGTTGGTAGAGATTTTGTGAACAAATCAGCCATATTATCACTTGAAC